AACACCATGTTCCCGGCCAGGGCTCGAACCCGGACCGCTCGATCCAGAGACGAGCGCACTAACCATGAGGCCAGCACGTCTTGAACTTGTTATTGTGTTTTGGTCAAGACCCTGGTGGTAGGTACTGAGACGGGTTGCGTAGATAACAGGGAGTAGGGAGCGTAAGCAAACCACTACGACAACGGCAACGACGACATTCCAATCTTTTCCTCTAAGCTCGCTTTTCCTTCCATCAGCACCAAAAACGCGGACTAGGTCAAGTTCGATCTGATAGCCCTGGATTCACCGACTCTTTGTCGTTTCCGCTTAGAGCGGATTGCTAGACAGTTCAAAATGAGTACGCCGGGCTTGCTTAAAATACTGCACTTAAGACCAGAGTCCGTTTTCTGAGTATTGACTAAAGGAAGGCAGGCACTGGAGACGAGGTTGACCGCATAGCTCATGAAGTGATACTTATGATCTATTGGAGGACAGACGCATAGGTCGCATAGATGACGTAATTCAGTAATAGGTCACAAATGACGTCCAAATGTGATAAGAACATCACTGAGACACTCGGCTATTGCCTCGTGTGCAATTTTTTTTTCCTACCACATATTGACGTCATCTGTGGTCTATTACTGAACAGACGCACGGCAACATGGAATTTATTTGTTAAGTACAAACCGGCTTTGGACCTCGCCTTTGTTCAGACCTCACCTTTGTTCAAAAGTGATCTGGAAACCGCATTATCTCGCTCAGTAGAACAACAGAGTTGCTTCTTGATTTACTTTTATTTCTTGTCTCATCATCATGTTTGGTTTCATTGTGACAGGAAACGTGACAAAGCCAAACAGTGTACAATCTTCGCGTGGCGCACCCACTGCAATCACTCAAATGTGACCGATGGTATCCTTAGAAAGGTCATCGGTTCCTTCAATCCCTTTTGTGACGGGGACAAGGATCCACAGGCGGAGGAATCCGATCAGTGTGCGAAGTACCCCAAACCTCCTGATGATGGTGTCTCAAGTCCCAGCGAGCAACCGGAAAGTAAGAGTGCAGCAGGAGAGAGAAATGGCGTCGTTCCCTATTTATTTTATGTAGTGCTTTTCGTAACATCAAATTGGTACCCAAACAATCTTATTACAATCTGAAGAGGCGACCGGGGCCTAGTGGTTAAGGAGTTGAACTTGTAATCCGGAGGTCCCAGGTTCAAATCACCCCCCTTCCATTAGATGAATTTGTGTTTGGTAATCCCAAATTCAACAGTTCCACACTTTTATACACCGTAAACTTCCGAAAGTAAAAACCCCCCGAAAGTAACGTAAAAAAGTTGTGGCCACTAATAAAGCCCGAGAGTAGCGACCCTCCGAAAGTGGCGACTGTCCATGGGTAACGAGCCCACCCTAACCCCTCCCCTCTTCTCGAAAATAGTAAAACCAAGGTTCAATAGTATATACTGATTTTTTTAATCAATAGTCAAGTCAAAGGTTAGGTACCGTACGTTTATAACAAGGGAAGGTATCGCTTATGCCACGAAGTGAAGCTGTGAAACGTGAATTCGTGCTTTGCGCCGTGTTAAAACAAAACCCGTAGAATTTACTTCAAGCAACAAGAACTTACTATAGGAAACTTTGATTTAAATTTTCAACTGAAGCATATTAGAAGGAACGTTTCTTCAAATTTAAATTGAAAGCCTAACCAGTGCACTGAGATATTGCTACAGCAGACTGACATATAGTACAAAATGTTTACGGTATCTGACAAGCTTTCCTGCTAACCAATGACAGCACGGTATAGACATGACGAGCCCATGCACCCATATGGCAGCACTCGATCATAGATTTAGACTAAGACGAAGAATTGTATCTCGTGTTTTAAGAACTGTTTTTACGAATTCCCGTCTTTTATTCCGTAAAAAGCGCTCATTCCTACCAACTTTATAGAATGTTTTTTGCTCCCCGAAAGTAACGACCCTTCGAAAGTAATGATCCCCCGAAAGAAGCGAGCCCCAAAGGCGGCTAATTCCGGAAGTAACGAAGGTCGTTTCTTTCGGAAGTTTACGGTGGCTAACTGGTTTACCCCCCAAAAGTTGGGATTTTTAACAAGTTTCCGCTTATTTCCAATATTCGATCTGCAATGTTTGTATGTTATGTGACTGAAAGGGCCGCAATGTAATTTAGTAGTTCACCAGTAATTGAGTTTACCTATAACAAATATAAGTTAATGAGTTAAGTCGATTTTTAATAGTGTTAGGTGAAAATATAGGCTCAATAAGGTCTAAGTTCACATGGACTGCAATAGTACAAAAGTGGGATTTTTTTGGTGTGTCAAAAGTTGTACAATTAAAACACTGTACAAATAGTGCACTAAATAAATGTACTTTCAGCAAACTTTAGATATACACCTGGATAAATAACAATTTTATTATATGGCTAGCTCCCTGAGCGGGCAAGATGAATCAAATCCTGCGCTGTGATTGGCTACCCGAGCGGGCAAGATGGAGCTATCTTGCTCGCTCGGGACTACCCGCCATGTCCCGCAAGAAAAATTTCCCCGAAATCCACATAATAAATCCTTTATGACCAAGCTTGTTCGGTCAAGATGGCCGGATATTGGCCTCGTAGAAAAAACTCGCAAAAAAAAAAAGCTTGGCCAATATCCAGCCATCTTGACCTCACACTTGGTCAATAACCCATATGTATACAATTTGTATTTGTATTTGTCGCTGATTCAGCGAAGGAAAACTTAACTCAATTCGATTGCCTGTACACAGCTTTCAAGGCTGAAAACACAAATCAAAGCTGACTTTACACAGCTTTTTAGGCTGATCGAGACTACAAATAGCAAGTGTATATTAGGAACTAGCTTTGTTGGGATCGCCATTCGTGAGCTGAATTTATCTGGGTTTCAAGCTGGCTTTACTCATTCTGCAGCTGAGTTTATTCAGGCTACTTTCAGATTTCAAGCTGACTTTATTCAGCCTTCTTTCAATTGTACCTAAGATGATGCTATCTTGTTTCCTCACTAGTATAAGTAAAGTAATCTGTCCATTGTGATACGATTTCCTGACATCTCGACGACTTACGATCTACGTCGAAGTTGAAGAAAGAGGAATAAACGCGCGAAGGCCCAGTTCTCTGAGTGTCCTTATTTCCAGTTGTAGCACTGAGATCCGACGGTACTTTGGAACCCGTGACAAGTTCCTCTCCCGCAGCAAGCGACTTGCTCCGAGTTAATTCCCGAGTCGAGTTAATTTCACACAGTCAAGCGACCTAGATTCCACTGAGCCAGTTAGGCCCCTCAACGCCAGTTTCTTTTAGACTTCAGAGCGGAAAACCCCGTTGTTACATTAGTATCGACATTGATTCTGGAAAATTTCAACTCGGCAAATTCGTGCAAATTTTGGTGTTGTATTCGAAATTTAAGACTATTTCCATCCTTTTTTTTAAAAAAAAAAAATTATTTCTCTTTCCAAGCTCAATAAACAAGTGCATACTTCCGACAAAGGAATAGTAATGTCTCGGGTTGGGTGGAGATTAAAGTTCTCAAGATTGAACCTTTCATTGGCTGGAGATGAAATTTCGTTATAAATCGGTAGCTGACATGGCTGGCAAAGTTTACCATTTAAAATGAGCACTTGTTGCAGCTAAGTTAGTAAGTGATTTGTGTGATTTCAATAACACAGGAACTGCTTGCACAATTTTCCGAGCCAGAGACTCATGCTAAGGGTGCTCAGCATTAATAATACCGTAAAATTCTGACAGCAACGGCCCCTCCCAACCGAAAATAACGTTAAAAAAATTGTGGCGTTTATAAATCCCGAAAGCCCGCTGCCTCTTCCAATTCCCCGATTATGACGAGACCAAGGTTCAATAGTATATTTATTTAGTCAGTCAATAGTCAAGTGATAGTTAAGACCGGTCAGTAACTTGATGACGAAAAGGCACTATAGAACAAAGAAAGGTATCGCTTATATGTCGTTGTAAAATGAAATGTCTATTCGTGCTTCATCAGTTCACGATACGCAGTTTTCATCAAGTAACAGGAATGTACTAACAACAGGAATCTTTCTTCAAATTAAAACTCTGTATCATTTTTAACAGAAGCGTATACGTATTAAAAGGAACATTTCGACCATTGCACTGAGATATTGATACAGCAGACTTACATATATAGGAGTACGTCGTGATGTAGAAACAGTTTATAGAAACTAGTTTATGTTATCTGACAAGTTTTCCTGCCGGTTAAATAATCAATTAATAGGTTTGTAATAGTCCAGCTATTACAAGGAAGAAACAGAGAATGGATAAAACTCGACTTTTATCCATTCTCTAAGTGTTGTCTTCATTTATATATACTTTGTCTAGGTCTCGAAAATTTCTATACATACTTTCTCGAGGATTCAGACTTTGTACTCAGATTAAGTCACTGGCGTGAGATCTTCATCCTGGGAGTGTTAGCAAGGGTGTTAGGGTTTTTGATGAAGACCCGACCATATCCGAAGACATCCTAAGGTTTATGCGCACGTTCTGTAGATTTCCGAAGGCAGTCCCAGAGTGCGTTTTGCCAAGCATTACGCCATTGTCAGTACTTTTCCCATAGGGAAATTGTATCGTCATTTACACGCACATTTTTTTTTGTTTCAAGTGGTTATAGTTTACATATTTTCATCCCCCCTCCACCCTGTTAAACCTTGTTCGAATCCCCCTCTTCACTGCTACATGTAACCGAACGAATTTTTGCCAGCTGTTTTCAGACCACCAGCTAGCTTGAAACAGTAGGTAGAAATCCATCTGCAACCGTGTGCAAAGATTTCTGAGCTGTTTTGTCTCGACCTCAAAAATAGCAACCATTTCACTAACTTAAATTTTCTTTATTGGCCCTTGATAACATTTGCACATGAAGGCTACTGAGATAGTAACGTACTAAGGGTTTTTTAATTAAGAACTGAAACTCCTTGTCAAGTATTCAGTTAGGCTCACGGCTAAGGTAGGTAAGGTTCACTGTTGGATTCAGAGGTGTTGAAGAGGGAAGGGGGGTGGGGAAGTGAGGAAGGCAGGGAGATAGAGAGGGGGTCAGGGAGGAGGGGGAAAAGAAGATCAGTGGTGGGCCCTCTCTCAGTTTCTTGGGGAAGACCAGAGTGAAGGTAGGCCCTTTCTTGCTCCTTTAAGTTGTTGCAAGATTTGATGAATGTGGCATAATGCATGTGTAGATCCAGAATTTACCCATACACACCAAGAGAAAATTTTCTCTTGTACACACTCATTAGAAGGTCTGAGGGCATGGAGGGTCTCAAAAGCCAAACATTTTACTGCCCCTTTCAATAACTTGTGGACTCTAAAATTCAAAGTTCAACCGAAACAAATGCGTTTTTCGCTACCATCAATCAAATGTTCGGCAGACCTCCCAGCTTCCAACTACTGCCCAGCATGTGGTAATCAAATTGTTCAGTTCAGACAATGAAACAGAGCTCGGCAGTAGTCAGAAAGTGGGAGGATCTGCCGAACAGTTGATTGCCGGTGGCGAAAAACACATGTCGGTTGAACTTTGAATTTTACAGGTAGAGTCCACATAATATTGAAAGGCGCAATAACGGAAAGGATGAAAACAATCATGGCATTGAAGGTGATACACTGTAGAGGAAAAGGTTACCGGTTATTTACCCCCCATGTCAATTAACCCTTAGCCAGTTATCCCCAAACCAGAAGTTGATTAGCCCCATATTTACACTTAAAGAATGAGCAATAAGCAGTTCTCAGCTTCTGGTTGGGGGCTAAATGGTTAGGGGCTAATCAACTTAATGGCTAAACAACTGGTTACTGATTAGTTATTTTCCATTGCTGACTAATTATTCACAGTAAAGAACATCTTTATAGTGTCCACTGGGGTATGAGGAGAGCAGACTGCTCCCATAGACCTTCCCCAGTATAAACTCATTCTTTGCTGAACAAAAATCCAGGAAACTGTCCCTTCATTACAGAGGTACCATTGTCACTTTGTCCACTGTTTTCAAAATGAAAGCATACTCCTGAGCATTGGATTGTATTCTCTCCACCCAGTCCACGCCATGAAAAACTTCCTGATATGGCAGCTTCAACAGAGTACCTTGTGCTCTTTTCTATCATGATGGGAGCATCAAACAAGACTTCAAAGCCCCAGTAACAGCTTGACTTGTAAGGTAGATTCTGTGAAGAAAAACATCCTATCCTGTTTACAACAACTGAAAAACAGCTCAGATCAGTTACTTTAAGATGCAATGAATACTTTTCATTTTGATTTCCACAGAAACATATGCCATACAGAATGATAGTTTGGTCTACAGAGAAGACAATGGAGTCCTTTTTGCCAGGGCCATAGAACCAGCCATAGTCAACAACAGCATCAAATCTACATAACTGTTTCCTGTCCAATCTACTTCTCTTTTCCTGTTTAAATCCCAGAGTTGATGTCAAGACTGAGGAAAAATTTTTTATGATATCAAAACACTCTTTGGGAGATAGAATGTTGGACTCCAGGACTACATTTGCAAATTCCTCCTCTTTCATTATTGGGTAACGAATGTTTTCCACAATTCCTTCCCCAAGTAAACTTCTTTTTAGTTTTCCATTGGGAAGTAGGCCTTGTATTTCACACTGGTTGTTGGCCCAAGAATTCACAGCCTCGAACAGTTCAACTTCACTCACAGACAAAGAATCTCTTTTAACTAGAGTTTCAAGAGTTACTTTGTCAATTGTAGTGAATTCATCCAATTTTATCACCTCAGAGGTGTGTTTATCAATTACTTCCCAGCAACTAGCCTCGACTCCTTCTTCTTGATCGTTTTTAGCTTGCGTAAGAAAATTGATCACGTTCGAGGCATTTAAGTTCTTCCTGAGAAATTCAGTGCATTTATCAGAAAGTAAAGGTAACTTGTAACGTCTTGACAAATGCAGTACTTCCATTACGTTGCTTACGTTCAAGATCACTTCATCGGTGTAGATGAAGCGCAACATCTCCATTAGACTCTCATATTCATAGTCACTGAGTTGAATAACGTCTAACGTTTCTGGTGTGTGAAACATGTCAAAGAAAACAGCGCTGCTAATGGACAAGACGAACTTGTGAGCCGGTATCTCCTCCACTTCCCTCGATTTAAAATCACCGCTACACTTTCCAACGATAAACTTCACATCGCTCAATAAATCGTTATTAAACATAACCTCGATCCTTTCTTTAATGTTCGGTCTTGGTATTTGCCGGTCAGGCCAGTCATCTTCAGCGAAAGACATGATGGTTGCAACCAAACGTGTTGCTGTTCCCTCGCTGTTTTGATTGGTGTTGTAGCGTGTTACATGAATATGACGTGTTATATGAAAACTAAACTGCACACGTCAACTACCGCTATGTTGAATCCGCTTATCCTATCGCTGTCACCGCCGGTACTTCCGCACTTCCTCACACTGCCTGCAAATTATTGAGCAATGGCCGCATTTCTTGAGAAGGACTGGCAAACGATAAGAGCAACAATTAGAGAAAGAACCAGATTTATGTTTAATAACGATCTTATAAGCGATGTCAAGTTTACTGTGCAAGGATCGGATGGCAGTACAAAGGAGATTCCAGCACACAAGTTTGTCCTATCTATAAGTAGCCCAGTGTTTTACGCGATGTTTTATGGACCAATGGCGGATGCTTCAGACACCATTGCTTTATCTGACTGTGAGTACGAGGGTTTATCAGAGTTGTTCCGTTTCATGTACAGTGATGAAGTTAACCTAAGCAGAAGTTGCGTGGTGCAGGTGTTATATTTGGCAGAAAAGTACATCTTGCCCAGCCTTGTGAGTGAGTGTCTCAAATATCTACGTGAAATCGTTGACGAATCAAATGCGCTTTGCATTCTTGTGCACGCATCGAGATACAGCGAACGAAATAACGATCTTGTGAAGCGTTGCTGGGAAATAATTGATGAACACACTGAACAGGCTATCCAATCAGAAGAATTTGTAAAAATTGATAGATCAATACTCGAAGTATTAGTGGATAGAGACTCTTTGAACATTCAAGAGATTAACCTGTTCGAAGCCGTCAACAAGTGGGCAGAATATCAGTGTGAACTAAAAGGCCTGGTGGCAGATGGTTGTGTGAAAAGAAGCGTAATTGGTGAGAAAGTGGTGACAAAGATTCGATTTCCAGTTATGAAAAAATTGGAATTTGCCAGTGTTGTGCTTGACAGTAATATACTTCTACCTCACGAAGCCTTTGACCTGACAAGATATTACTGTTTGGCATCCCTGTCTCCAAGGGGATTCCTTAGCACCGAAAGAATTGGTGGACTAAAGCATTGCCAAATGTTTGACTCAGTTATCAATTTTGGCTGGGCTCATTATGA